ATCAAACGAATGTATTTTGTGCAATCAATTTTCAGCAACTTCGTTTTGAACACAAACTCTCAACTTATTGAATTGGATTTATATGTCGTCGTGCTTGTGTATTTAAAAGAATGTTTCACGATCGCTCGTTCATATGTGATCTGACCGGATGATAATTCGGGGCAAACAAATTTACAAAAATAACCTACCTAAGAAATAATCGAATGCACCACTGGAATCTGTTGTATGGCAGAGCACCGAGATTTTCCGGTCTGCGGATATGTAAATTCTGGCATCGATCATTTTGTGCAGCCCCTCTTTCAAGTTGTTCATTATTGCGTCTTTGAGCGTATACTGTAGCTTTGCATTATATTCGATTTGTAATGCAGTGTAAGCGACTGAAATAGCTCATCGTCCTCCTCTCCCTCCCGCTTCCCCCTCCCCCTCCCATTGTTTACTACGAACGCAGCAATACTTTACGTAAAAAAAAGTCGAACAGAACTTTTTTAAATTGCTGCGTGCATCAAACTAGGAATCAATAAATATTAGAAAAGAAGCACTTCTATCATATCAAAAGAAATAAATTCTGAAGAAAAATTGATTTAGATGCCGTACCTCAGTATGCTCCTTGACTAGTAACTTTTCCACTTTCCTCGTCAAAGTATCGTTCGAATCTTTACCGGTTACTTCGTTGTACTCAATCAGCACATTTACAAGCTTACCACGAATCATTGCACTGATCTCCAGCACTGCTTTTGTATTCGCAGCATCACCGTTATTCGGCGGAACTACGAAAATGAATTCCGTTCCCCAAGAATCCGCCTCATAACCGGTCACCTTGTCAGGCAAATACACATTTTCGCAATAATGCACTGCAACGTTCAAAAGGTGCAAAGCTCAATGTGTTCCTTTGAAATGAGGTATCAGTCTTTGCGTCTTTTCTTTCGGCAAATTCGTTTAATGTACATCAAAGGCCGAAGACCTTAGATTAACACGTACGCTGTTTGTTAGATGAGGGAAGGTCTCAGCTACGAACTCGAAATTTTGAGGCTATAATTTAGCACACAGTGCAAGTTTTAGACCATTGAAGTCGGCCTTCATGGCTCCCTGTTCTTTACATATAACCGCGGGTCAAACAAGTTTACTTCATATTTCCTTATTTATTTGTGCATTTTGGTTCACGAAATGAACGATCTAAAAGTTCGAATCGAGACGAATTAGAAATCTGAAGTGTTTATGCGCTTTTGCCTATGTATGCAAAAGCGGATGTTGAAATCGATGTGTGTGTATGTGTGTGTGTGTGTGTGTGTGTGTGTGTGTGTGTGTGCAACTGTTTCAATTAGTCGACTAATTTACGGTGGTTTACGTCAATGGCTTTGAAAATTAAGTGTAAAGCAATGACCGTTCACTACTTGTAAGCTTCAATTTTAGCGCAGAAACGCGTGATCGCGCTGGCAACCCGAGCGCTTTCACCTTGGACTAAATCCGTTTCTTTTTCTGGTTTCCTTGAAGTTAAAATTTATGGGAAAACTTTACGAAAGCAAGCTTGTCCTTTGTAAAGTCAAAAAAAAATTTCCCGATAAAAAGACATCCACTCCAAAATGAAGCTGGCTATTAAAGCGACTCAGAGATTCCAGATGACCATGTTTTGGGTAGCACAATGTGTAAAAGAACTTAAGGTGCGAGGTCAATTTTGTAAGCACTGGAATTGTCAGGTCATCTTCCACGAATTCCGAGCGTGCATACATGAAAACGCTACCAAGCAGCCCAGTGAAAATAGCTAGTGGAAGTGTAAATCGCCAGTTTCTAAGCTGACCCATTTGTTTAGCTGGTCGCAAACGAAACTAGAAAACTGATAAAAATGAATTTGCTACCAAAAGCAAAGCTTTATATACTTTCAAAATGCAAATTTTTAATTTCTAGAAAATCTGCATATACCAGTAACAATAAGACCATTCGGGCCATTATCGTGTTATAGTGATACCTGTGCTAATGGTCCGGTGGTCTTGTTATTACTGGTATACAGGGTTGTTTCCATACGTCGGGCGTAGCTATATCAAGGCTTTCGATCCTAGGCACTTAGGCTAATTTCTGACATTTTCGTCTTTTCCAGAAAGTAATTTATGCAATCGCAGAGAACCAGGAGGAGCTGAAGGAGGGATATGCTTCATTTGTCTGTTCCTTGCACAACAGTGAAGGAGAATGAATACCTGAGAAAATGGACTCCCTTACAAGTTCCTTTTGGAATCCTTTTTTTT